AAATATAGGTAGATCTATATATATAGATTATATATATATAAATAGAGAGAGATCTATACAGATAACTATCTATCTGTATAATCCATCCCCACACACCAAAACTACAAAGGAACTCGTGTTAGTACAAGAACAAATTCTCAGCTCTCTGAGAGTCTCAGGGAACTGGGATTTTTATTACTGGAGTATCATTCATTTTTTTTTAATTATTTTATTTAACTTTATTTTATTATTATTATTATTATTTTCCAGTTTGATCAGAGAGAGAGAGAGTACATGAGAAAGCAAGACACCAGGTCCGAGACTTGAACCGTGGTCAGCCATGTGGGAGTCCAGCACTTCTAACCAGCATGCCACTTGCCAGCCCCTGGAGTGTCATTCTTGGTTTCTCTCTACCTGTAGATTCCAGCCCTGCAGAGTCACCAGAAAGAGGAAACAGCCGAAGATAGCACAGACGGGGGAGGAGAAGGTGAGCGTGGATATGGAGTGGTTTCAACACCCTGAGGGTATTCCTGCCCTGGTGTGGCTTAACTCAGAAGAGAGATGATTCCTGGGGGATAGCCAGAGGATTTGGGGGTGCTCAGCCTTGACCATCCCACCCCACAGCACCCAGCCAAGGTCCTGAGGACTCGCTCCTGGGGACACAATCCCGTGGCCACTTCAGCCGCCAGCCAGTGAAGTAACCCCGGGGGGGCGTACGGCCTGTTACCCACCAGCTGTCCAGCTTGGCCTTGGTAGCTTCCAAGCTATGTGAGGAGACTCCTGTCACATCCGTGCACCGAGGGAGTTTGCGGGGGCGGGCGTCTGGCACTGCTGCGGCTGCCTCCCCTGAGGGCAGCCCCATGCGCCGCAACCCCCTGCCCAAGCATTTTGAGATCACCCAGGAGACAGCCCGGCTACTCTCCAAACTGGACAATGAGGCTGTGCCCAAGACCACCTACTGCCCAGACCCCCCATCTGAGGAAGCCGAGGACCATCTGTGACCACCCTACCACCCTAAGGGGCAAAGGACTCAGAAGATGGACCCGCATCTCCTGGCCTGCCCCCTCCTGATGGCCATACATGACCATGACGCCAGGGGTTCAATCTTGCAGGGAGGGGGCGACCTGGAGAGTTTCTATGAAAAAACAATGCACAGCCTGGAGGAGGCCTAAAACCCTTCTGGGATCCATGTTTCAGGATCCGCCCCCCAATAGACCAGGTCACTGCCAAGCATCCAGGTCACTTGTCTATGAAAAAACAATGCACAGCCTGGAGGAGGCCTAAAACCCTTCTGGGATCCATGTTTCAGGATCCGCTCCCACCAGACCAGGTCACTGCCAAGCATCCGGGTCACTTGGATTCCAGGGTCACTCAGGGTCAATACTCAGGGTCAGTACAGGTCATGAGATCCTTGGAGGGTAGGGGGAGGTCCACCCTCTTTGCTAACCCCTGGGACAGGCTGCTACTTCAGATGAAGTCACTTCTCCACCCGCCACCAACTTACTGGCTTTTGGAGGAAGTGGGCAATTCCAGACTTCACATCCTGGTAGTGCCAGGGATCTGAGGTCTAAATGACCTCTGAATAAACTCGTGTCTTGTATACCCTTGCATGTATTTTACGGAGCAGGGAAACCGAGGCTTCAGCTGTCTTCATCCCCAAACACCTTCAAGCACCTACAAGGTGATCAGGACTGGGCCTGGGCACCCAGCTGAGTCACCAGCCAGGCCCTTCTGGAGCTCCGAGTCCTCAATCCAGTCCTGCAGAATCAAACAAATATAACAAAATTCAGATAACCGAGACAATGGAGCTGTGTGCTTCGGAGTGTGGGAGCCCGTGGCCACCCCAGGGAGACCGTGGGAGGGAACTGCAGGGCAGGGCGGGCAAGGGGCAACGCTGTCCCGGGGCGGGGGTGGGATTGTAAGAAACTTGAGTGCGCTGCACGGTCCACTGGGGCCAGAGAAGTCGGTGGGGTACGCTCCGAAACTGCAGCTGCCAGCAACGAGCGAGCGAGCGAGCTGGGGAAGCCGAGGTTGGGCGGGGGTCCGGGCAGTGGGAGCCGAGTCGGATCAGGGCGTGGCTTGGAACTCGGCGACCGATTGGACGCGAGGGAGACAGAGAGAAAGAGAGAGAGAGGGCGGGTGAGGCTGGACGGGTGGGGGGTCTGGAGCTGGGCGCGGACCCTGAGACCACCCGGAGCTACGCCCGGGCGGTGCAAGGTCACAGCGGGAATTCCGGGCTCGCCGAGTGACTCAGCCCTGAAGGCGCCAAACTGTGGGCACTTGAGGTGCGTGGGGAGGGAGGGGTCCGGGGTAGGGGGGGAACCCTGCGCCGGAAGTGGAGAGGGGGCAACCGAGCGGGTGTTGGGCGGGGCCCCCAGGCGGGGGCGGGGCGACGGGGCCCCGCCTCCCGCGCTCTCTTGGCAGCCCGCGCCGGGCGCACCCGTGCGCTCCTTTGCTCCCGCCTTGGTCTCTGGGCCATGGGCCTGGAGTCCTTCCCGACCCCCTGCGACCCCTCCCCGCCTGTGACGTGACGGACGGGCCAGGTGAGGCTGCCATGGACCGGGGGCGGGTGGGCGAGGGTCTGGAACTGGGCCCCCCGCACATGCCGGCAGGGCCAGGGCACCACCCCCTTTGCAACCCCGAGCCTGGGGACGCCTGGAGGCCAGATCAGCCGTCACCTCCCTGGCTGCTGTCTTTGTCCCAGAGACCGCTATGGTCCTCGGTCCCACTCGAAACAGCCCGGTGCCCCGCCGGATTGGAGAAGGCTCGCGCCCAAAACCCGCCATTCAACTTCTGCGGGCTGCCTGGCTCGCTAACCACTCGGGTTCTCCAACGCCCCAGCCCCGCCCGTCTTCCCACGAAATCCCAACAAGTGACTTCACCCTCGTCCACACACGCCCTGTGGTCTCTGACCCCCTGTCGTCTAGTCCCGCAGCTCACACCACTCTTCCTATCCGAGCTCTCCTTCAGTCTTCCAACTCCCAACTGGGTCAGACTGGTGGTCCTTGGGCCAGGATCGGGCTGTCCATGTTTTTTGTTTTGCTTCTTCGGGTTAAAAAACAAAACGAGCTATTTGTTTGGGAAATAGGTTTCATAAAAGTTAGATTAGTGAAGAAACTGCTGTTCCCCTACTTTTACCCTGTAGTTTTTTCTTTTTTTTTCTTTCTTTTTTTTTTTTTTTGAGAGGTTTTTGCTATAGGGCATGTGCACGAACCAGAAAGACAGACAGAAAGCGAGAAATCCCCCCCAGGGGGGATGGCCACGCTGCAATCCCTTCTCCTCCATTCTCCTCTCGGGATCTTGGGCACGCACGCACACACGCCCGGTGTGAGTTTAAGCCACCAGGTCCGGGACTCAAACCGCAGTCGACTACATGGGAGTCCAGCAACATAGCCATGATGCTAACTGCTGGTCTCAGAGTTTGCTTTTTTCTGAGTCTCTTTAGTCTCCCTACCAAGGCTGCTTTGTCCTGAGCCATCAGAGTTGGAGACCTTCCTCATCCTGTCCCTTGGCTCCTGTTCCTTCTTTTGATCTCCCAGCACACGCAGGCTGCACTGACCTCTCTCTGTGTCCCCAGATGGTCACCATGAGCCACTGCTACTACAACGAGACCATCGGCTTCTTCTACAATAACAGCGGCAAGGAGCTCAGCTCCCACTGGCGACCCAAGGATGTGGTTGTGGTGGCACTGGGGCTGACGGTCAGCGTGCTGGTGCTGCTCACGAACCTGCTAATCATAGCAGCCATCGCCTCCAACCGCCGCTTTCACCAGCCTATTTATTATCTCCTCGGTAACCTGGCGGCCGCTGACCTCTTCGCCGGCGTGGCCTACCTCTTCCTCATGTTCCACACAGGACCACGCACAGCCCGGCTCTCGCTCAAGGGCTGGTTTCTAAGGCAGGGCCTGCTGGACACCAGCCTGACGGCATCGGTGGCCACACTACTGGCCATCGCCGTGGAGCGGCACCGCAGCGTGATGGCCGTGCAGCTGCATAGCCGCCTGCCCCGGGGCCGTGTGGTCATGCTCATCGTGGTTGTATGGGTGGCCGCGCTGGGGCTAGGGCTGTTGCCTGCCCACTCCTGGCACTGCCTCTGTGCCCTGGACCGCTGCTCCCGCATGGCACCCCTGCTCAGTCGCACCTACCTGACCGTCTGGGCCTTGTCCAGCCTGCTCGTCTTCCTGCTCATGGTAGCCGTCTACACCCGCATTTTCTTCTATGTGAGGAGGCGGGTGCAGCGCATGGCAGAGCATGTCAGCTGTCACCCTCGCTACCGCGAGACCACGCTCAGCCTGGTCAAGACCGTTGTCATCATCTTGGGTGAGTGTGGCCCTCAGACAGACTTAGGCCACAGGAGCCCCGCCTTCTCTAACTCCCAGGAGACCCTGGGAGACGTTTACTAAAACAATGAGCCAGGGGACCAGCAGTTGGCGCTATGGCTCTGTCGCTGGACTCCCATGTAGTCACCGAGGTTCGAGTCCCAAACCCGGTGGCTTAAACTCATGCCGGGCGCATGGGCGTGCATGCCTGAGATCCCAAGAGGAGAATGGAGGAGAAGGGATTGCGGTGTGGCCATCCCCCCTGGGGGGTGATTTCTCGCTTTCTGTCTCTCTGTCTGTCTCTGTCTGTCTGGCAAGCGCAGGCGCCCTATAGCAAAAACCGCTAAAAAAAAATAATAATAACAATGAGTGGGTAGAGCATGATGGGAGGGGATGATTTATGGAATGTTCTTGAAGGAGGTGATATCCGAGCTGAGATCTGAATGTTGCAGGAAGAGTCCCAGGTGGAGGAAATAGAAGGTAAAAACCCTCAGGCCAGAGCAGTCCAGAGACTCCAAAGAAGAAAGACGGCCCCTATGGCTGGGCTGGAAGGAGGAAAGGTCAAACCAGGTCTTGGAGGCATGAACAAGAGTCAGATTTTGTTCTGAAGAATGAGAAGTTAGGAGTTTTATTTATTTATTTATTTATTTATTTATTTATTTATTTTTGGAGAGATTTTTGCTATAGGGCTCATGCGCTCGCCAAAGAGAGAGAGAGAGACAGAGAGACTGAAAGCGAGAAATCACCCCCCAGGGGAGATGGCCACACCGCAATCCCGTCTCCTCCGTTCTCCTCTCGGGATCTTGGGCACGTACGCACACTCGCCCGGCGTGAATTTTAAGCCACCTGGTCAGGGACTCGAACCACGGTCAACTACATGGGAGTCCAGCAATATAGCCGTTACACTAACTGCTGGTCCCAGAAGTTAGGAGTTTTTATTAGGAGTTATGTATCACTCTGGTTATTAGAGATAAAATGGAATGGCTTAGGGGAGGTGGCAAGGAGCCTCTCTCCATGAGACTCCCCCACCACCCATCAAAGAGTAAGGAGCAACTCTTCTCGATGATCCATTTCCTTCTAGTAAATAATCAGTTTTTCCCACGGTGACCTTTTCCTCACTGAATAAATTGCCACTTAGAAAGGGCCCTAGCTGGGACCAGCAGTTAATGTAATGGCTATGTTGCTGGACTCCCACGTAGTCGACTGCGGTTCAAGTCCCGGACCCGGTGGCTTAAACTCACACCGGGCGCGTGTGCATGTGTGCCCAAGATCCCAAGAGGAGAATGGAGGAGAAGGGATTGTGGTGTGGCCATTCCCCCTGGGGGGCCATTTCTCGCTCTCTGTCTCTCTCTGTCTGTCTGGCGAGCGCATGCACCCTATAGCAAAAAAAATCTCTCCAAAAAAAAAAATTAAAAAAAAAAAAAAAGAAAGAAAGAAAGGACCCTAGCCAACTTGTATCAGTTAGGAAAATTGTCCCCCTTTTTTTTTTTTTTTTTTTTTTTGCCTGTGGGTTTGTGCACTTGCCAAAGAGAGAAAGACGAATTGGGAGGGAAAAGCACCCCATGGGGCATGATCATGTCACCATCCCTTCTCCATTTCTCTATCCTGTTGTATTTAAGACACATGCGCACTACCACCTGGTATGTTTTTCAAGCTGCTAGGACCAGGATCGAAACCATAGCCAGCCACGTGGGGTCCGCTCCCTTAACCACTAGACCACAGGACTGACTGGCCCAGGCCCAGGCAAGTTGTCCCTTCTGGCAGACAAATCATAGAAATGGTCTTAGTAGTAGTTCTACCCATCATACTGCCCAGCTTGGAAGACAGAATGTTCTGGGAGGTTTTAACATTTTTTTCTATTATGAGAAAGACCGATCCCAGACCGGGCCTGCCAGCACAGAGAATCTTTTTTTTTTTTTTTTTTTTAATTTTTTTTTTTGGAGAGATTTTTTTTGCTATAGGGTGCATGCGCTCGCCAGACAGACAGAGAGAGACAGAGAGACAGAAAGGGAGAAATCACCGCCCGGGGAGATGGCCATGTCGCAGTCCCTTCTCCTCCATTCTCCGCTTGGGCATGCATACACACGCGCCCGGCGTGAGTTTTAAGCCACCGAGTCCGGGATGCGAACCGCAGTCGACTACGTGGGAGTCCAGCGACATAACCATTACGCTAACTGCTGGTCCCAGAAAGAAGGTCTTGAGACTCCAGTCCTTCCCTAAGCCTCCAGCTAGCCAAGATCATTGATATGCCTAGTCTGTTCAGGTCAGCCTGGGAACCAAACCCAGGGCTTTTCATATGGCTCCAGCATCATACAGAAGCACCCTCTTGGGACTGGCAGTTGACATAATGGCTATGTCACTGGACTCCGACTTAGTCAACTATGCGGTTCAAGTCCCGGACCCGGTGGCTTAAACTCACGCCAGGCGCGTGTGCGTGCGTGCCCAAGATCCAGAGAGGAGAATGGAGGAGAAGGGATTGCGGCGTGGCCATCCTCCCTGGGGGGTGATTTCTTGCTTTCTGTCTCTCTGTCTCTCTCTGTCTGTCTGGCGAGCGCACGCACCCTATAGCAAAAACCTCTCCAAAACAAACAAAAATAAGAAACACCACTCTGTGCCACCATGGGGGCCCAAGATAGGTAACTCTGGCACTGCAAACTGCATAGTTACTGCCTGAGTTCTAGAGCCTTCTCTAGCCCTGAGATCAGAGCAGTGAGTTGAGGGATTCATGAGCGCATTCTCCACTCACCCCCCCACCTCCATCTCACAGGGGCATTCGTGGTTTGCTGGACGCCAGGCCAGGTGGTGCTGCTCCTGGATGGTCTGGGCTGCAAGTCCTGCAATGTTCTGGCTGTAGAGAAGTATTTCCTGCTGTTGGCCGAGGCCAACTCGCTGGTCAATGCCGTGGTGTACTCCTGCCGGGATGCCGAGATGCGCAGAACCTTCCGCCGCCTCCTCTGCTGTGTCTGCTTCCGCCGGTCCACCCACAGATCTGCCCATTATACATCCTCCACCAAGAAAGGAGCCAGCACTCACATCATGCTTCCTGAGAACGGCCACCCCCTGATGGACTCAACGCTCTAGCTACCTTGAACTTCAGTGTGATGCAGCAAGTTCAAGACCCGTAAGCCCCGGACCGCTGGTGGATGTGCCTGGCTCAGCCTGATCTGCAAGACAGACTTAAAGACAGATGCATGCTCTGTCGTGTCTCAGCATTGCTGCCAATCTTCCCTGACCACACAATTCTGCCTGCCCTGGGGTGCCGGGATTTGGGGTCATCTCTAAGCCTATGGCAGAGAGTCAGATGGCCTATGAGAATCTGGCTCAAAAGTCATCTCAGTCTGAGGGGGTTGCTTTTCTTTTCTTTTTTTCTTTCTTTTTTTTTTTTTTTTAGTTGTCAGAGTATGTGCACTAGCCAGAGGAAAGAAGAGCATCCCCTCAATGGCTGTGGTCATGCTGCAGTCCCTTCTCTCTTTCTCCATCCTTGTTGAGGTTGGGGGCATGCACACAGACACACTCAAAAGTGTTTTTCAGGGACCAGCAGTTAGCGTAATGGCTATGTCGCTGGACTCCCATGTAGTCGATCATGGTTCAAGTCCCGGACCTGGTGGCTTAAACTCACGCCGGGCGCGTGTGCGTGCATGCCCAAGATCCCAAGAGGAGAATGGATTGTTGCGTGGCCATCCCCCATGGGGGATGATTTCTCGCTTTCTGTCTCTATGTCTCTCTGTCTTTCTGGTGAGCGCACACGCCCAATAAGAAAAACCTCTCCAAAAGAAAAAGTGGTTTTCAAGCTTCCAGGGCTCAGATTTGAACCCTGGTCGATTATGTGGAATCCAGCTCCCTTAACCACTAGGCTACAGGGCTGGCCCTTTTTTTTTTTTTTTTTTTTAACAGACATTATTTTATTACGGCACATCCCTGGTAAGTCCCTTGGATTGATTTCTCCTACGTGATGCTGTGAGTGTTGAGGGTGGGAGATACGAAGGCTCTCTCAGGCCGCACTGTCCAGTGTGTCAGGGTAACAAGGACGGACAATGGATGCACTCTCTTAAAGCTGATGCCGTAGCAACACAAACTTTGGGGTGCTGTATTTGAGCTGAGAAAGGTTTGTGGCCTTTTTCAGGATCCGGCTTGTTCCCCTTAGAATTGACATCTCCTGGGAGAGCGTAATACAGGGAGTAAACCTTTCTTTCCACTCTGAGGTCTTCAAAGTGTTTTTTGTCATCAGTGCGTCCCCTTGTCCTTAAATTGTCCACCTTGGCTTGAGTCTAACAGGGATCCTTCCACATGGCATCTCCTCAGCCCTGTTCTTCCTTTTCAATCTCTGACTGGCCGTGACTGTCTCTTTGGGTGTCCTGTATCTATAGACTTCAGGAAACTTGTGGGAAAATGGAATTAAGGGAACCAGCAGTTAGCGTAATGGCTATGTCGCTGGATTCCCACGTAGTCGACCGTGGTTCGCGTGCCAGACCCGGTGGCTTAAAACTCACGCCGGGCGCATGTGCGCCAAGTAGAGAATGGAGGAGAAGGGATTGCAGCGTGACCATCCCCCCTGGGGGGTGATTTCTCGCTTTCTGTCTCTTGTGTCTCTCTCTGTCTGTCTGGCGAGCGCATGCGCCCTTATAGCAAAACCCTCTCCAAAAAAAAAAAAAGAATAAAAAAAAAAGGAATTAAAATACAAGTGAATGGGGCCAGCAGGTGGCATGTTGGTTAAGGTGTTGGATTCTCAGATGGTAACCACAGTTGGAGTCCCAGACCCATTGTTTGTTTGTTTGTTTTAATACAGGGCCCAGCAAGTGGCATAGTGGTTAGTGCTAGATTCCCACATGATCAACTGTAGTTCAGGTCCTGGGACCCAGCAGCTTGAAGCTCATGCCAGGCACATGTGCATGCATGCATGCCCAAAATCTCAAGAGGAGAATGGAGGAGAAGGGATTGCAGCGTGGCCAAACTCCCTCAGGGGTGATTTCTCCCTTTTTGTCTGTCTGTCTGTCTCTGGGGAGCTCACGCACCAATAGCAAAAATCTCTCTTAAAAAAAAAATACAAGTTTATGGGCCAGCTGGTGGTGTGGAGGTTAAGATGGCTGAACCCACATGGCTGACTTCATGGTTCAAATCCTGGACCCGGCAGCTTGAAAAATACGATGAGCACGTGTTCATGAGTGCCCCAAATTCTAAGAGGAGAATGGAGGAGAAGGGATTGGCATGGCTATCCTCCTCCAGAGAGGGTACTTTCTCACTTCCCCTCTCTCTAGTATGCCCAAATGCCCTGTAGGAAATTGTTTTTTAAGTTTATTTTGGGGACCAGCAGTTAGCGTAATGGCTATGTCGCTGGATTCCCACATAGTTGACCACGGTTCGCGTCCCGGACCTGGTGGCTTAAACTCACATCGGGCGCGTGTGCGTGTGTGCCCAAGATCCCAAGAGGA